CAATACATCTTACTAGTGTAAAAGCAAAGTAAACAGGCTTTGGCTCCTAATAATTACACAGACTGAGACTCATGTCATTCAACGCCACTTAAAACTCAATTCCAGAGTGATGGTAATGAGAAATTCCTCTTTAAGCCCACTGCTCCTCAAAACACTGATCATGTCATATAGGTTGGGAACTTCAGACGTTGTATGGCAACACCTACGGTTTTACGTATCAAGCAGAGTACTGAACCCGGCCCCTTATTTGGAAGAATAATGGTTGAACTCGCCTAACACAGGACTCTGAGCACGGTTTTAGTATCACTGCAGCAGCCTGAATCCACAGTCACTCTGATGTGGTGGTGGCTGCTGTCTCACTTGAGCTAGCTGAGCCTCCACCCTCAAAGAAGGGACACATGAAAACCAAAAACTCGCCCTCTGGTGACTTGACAGCTTCTTCAGTCCTTTCAAACCACCTTGCTCCTTGTCATGACTTAAAGCCATTTCTGAAGACCAATGAGGCTGTACCGCCAGCTGCCCAATGCCCCTGGAGACCGGCCCCGCTCTCCCTTCTAAATGCCCCTCAATCAGCTCTTCCCCACCCAGGAATTCCCCTTTGCATCGGAGGAATCTCCCAGCTGCAGGTCTAGCGCATCTTCACAGCTCCTGGTGGCCAGGACACCGAGCAATGACACCGAGCATCTGACACATTCATCAGGAGCCATCAGTGAAGCAAACGTCACCATGCCATTTCTGTTCTGCACAACGACACACCGTTTAATACTCATACAGCCGTGAGACGGAGGGCAGGGACCCTGCTGTAATCGGTGCTGTACAGACACAGAACACACAGGCTTATTTCTTCCACAAAACCCTTGCCGTCTCCCAGAAACACATTTGCTCTGTTTTTGACTCTGTTTTTCTCAACTTTAGTTGAGTTCAGTTCAGAACACCCAACGGCAAAGTTAGCACTGCATTTACAGGGCTTTCCTTCCGCACTTGTGTTGAACAGTCAGCATTGTTATCTTATTTTTTGTTATAGTGTTTGCACTGGTAATGCTGAACAAACCTGAAGCCTCCACTACAGCAAACACAAAAACTGACTTTGTTTATAAAAGAATTAAAGAACTAACACATGTTGAGGGTCTCTCTCCATTTACAGAAAACAGGTACTTCTTCATGACAGCACAGTTTCTCTGACTGATGGAAGTTTAGAAACAAAACAAGTGGCAGAAAACATGCAATTATGTCCCCCTGAAGAAAGTGAGCTCTGTTCTCAGATTGGCAAATTCCATTTTCTACAAACTATTAATTAGCAAAAGATTCATCTACACTAAAGAGATCTCTGCTTACTGCCAACCTGCTTACATTTAAGCTGGACCTTGTTCTCTCCTTTGGAACACTCCTGATCTTTGGACTTGGTAACTGAAAGCTGCCATTTCTGGCACCGATTTGTGTGCGTGTGCATGTTAAGGAACCATTGCAACTGGAGCTGACTCCTCATGAGCCGGTTACACATATAAAGTTGAGTAAAAAGAAGGTGTCTCTCTTGCTACCAAGCCCTTATAAAAAGTAGATCACCAGAAGACTACTTACACTTTCAAAGTACTGCATTCTCCTTGCTTGTCAGATTATGCTTTAAGATGTTACATAAAAGCAAAAATAGTCACAAGTATTTTGGATCACCTGTCTAGTGTTAGCACTGCCGAAGATGAACTGTGCCAGGAGTGTTTTACATCAGTGTGAAAAAAGTCAGAGTTCCTAAAAATTTTTTTCCCTATGAATTATTTATTGGTAAAATAAAAGCAGCTTGTGTAAATGATGGCAAAATCCTTCAAACTAGATATTGCATAAGATCTGTTGTATTTTATGGAAGCTAAAAAAAATTTAGAATATGAAATTTGAGGTTTTCCTTGATATTAGGACATTATCTCAAACTCCTTGATGCCTCTCAGGCAGACAATTTGAGTGCTTAGATTATTTATATTATTTCCACCAGAACACTGAGAAAATGTCATTATTTCATCTTTCACATTAAGAAGAGCAGGTGTATAAAGGAATACAATTACAATTCTTAATAAATCAGTGCCTACAGACTTATTTAATGCTCTTTAAGACTGTTTCATCTACAGACAAAACCTGAAGTACCTATAGCTAGCAAGTTTCTTTTTGTTTGTTTTTAATCAGCTTCAGAGAAAAAGAAATCAGGTTGACACGAAAATCAAAGCGGTGTTTTAATATGCACGAAGTCTAGCTTCTTTCGTTAGCAGTCCAATCCAGTTCCTGCAGAAAAGGAGTGGGCGGTTTTTGCTACCAACTTAAATGGAAGTAGGATCAGACACGAAAGGAGGAAGATCTACAGCTGTTATGTTAGATGCTGCAATACTTGCCTGGACAATGGAAGTATTCCCTAGGACACGTTCTCAGATACCTGTCTGGCAGCACAAACTGCTAATCCTCCTCCTATCTCTACCACCACCACCAGCACATTACATTAAATCAGATTCCAAGTATACCATCTTATTATGTAAAAATGTATACATTTTAACTTCAAGCAGAAAGGGCTACTTTCAATTTACGCTGCTTAATCAACTGCTTAGTTTCTACAGCAATATAAGTACAAGCAGCAGCAACTTTCAAGAAAACACAATTCATTTCTACAGTTCGTTTTACCGCGTGAAAGCTTCTCGTGCACTTAGATGGAAACTGAGGTGCCTCTGTCAATTTTGTACCCTGTGAGAAGCCCGTAAGACACAGGCACCTTCATTTGTGCAGGTGAATCCCTAAAAATATCAGAATAAAAAGGTAGAAGTGTCATCTCAACTCACACAAATAGAAACTGTTTACGCCATTTGAGAGACACAAGCATAAACCTGATGTTAGGGGGCGGCCAAGCCCTCTACCACCATTGTTTGAGCAATAGCATATTCTACAGTGGCCAAATCCAGCACCCACTGACAGCAGTAAGAGCCACCCTGGGAATTCACCGGGCATTAGCTGAAAAAGCCTGGACTTTCCTGATCCCGAGAGCTTTGGACTTGTCTGAACACAGACTGCCACACGCAACAGCTCTGGCGTGCTGCGCTGAGGTTTGGGTAAAGGGGCTGTCAGCCCCCCCAGATGGAGATGAAATGGGCAGATTTGTTTTATTTTACACCAGCAGCTGAACCGTAGCTGTAAATCAGCCAGCAAGGGTCCCAGGGGACAGCACACGAACCCCTCCACAGATTTTCAACAAAAGCATCCCTGGGTTTTCCAGCTGTGCTTCACAAAATGCAAGAAATGACAGCAGTTAACTGCACTCCTATTTTCACGCTTAAGGAGAACTTATCCTTCCAGATCCTGACACGCTGACATGAGTAAAGCAGCAAACACTCTAAATGAAAGTGGAATCGCAAAACGATTTTTTCCAAGCGTTCCCCCACCCTGAAGGAAATCCCAAAAAACAGTTTTTTCGCCATCACTTCCAAAAGATGAACGACCCTGCTCACAGAAGCCCCCCAAACGCCTGTGTCTCCGTGCCGGCGGTGCTCCCAAGGAAGACCCAAGTGCGCTATTGCTCGGGGAAAAGACACACTAATCCCCCTGCCCTGCTGCCGCCCTAACACCAACCCCGGAAAAGTCCAGTCAGCGGGGCCAGGCAGGTCCTGCCCAGCCATATGTCAGCTTTGCTCCAGCGGGGTGAAAGTCTCCCCCAGGCCCTTTTAGCTCTCTGGCACTACGGCACGCACTTTTAGGGGTACCCTAAAGTCCCCGCTCTTGCTGGGAAAACGGAGCAAGGCTGTAGCCTCCCGGCTCAGGGGGCTCCCCGGCGCACACGCTAACTTACCGGGATAAAGCCGGTTTCTTCGAGTCGGATGTAGCACGGCTCTTGAGAGCACAACCGCCCGCACTATCGGGGCCAGCACAGCAGCCCCGATAAAAAGTATATTCCAACTACACGCACGCACCTGCTTCGGCCCGGGAACTCCGTGCATCGACGAGGGGGGGAGGTATTTTAAGAGCAACTCCGCCGCTCTCCCTCCTCTGCTCATCTCAGCACGATCCCCCCCCGGAGGAGAGGGGGAGGACACCCGCCCCGAGCTCCTCTGCCCGGGCACAAATTTAAAGGCAGAGATAA